GGCACGGATGCAGCCAGCAACCTGGCAGAGCAGGACAAGCCAGGGCACCAGGGGGGCTTCACTGAGATGCTCCCAGGTGGAAAAGAACCCTGCAGGGTGGTAAGAGCAAGGGAGGGCAATGTCCATCCCCAGGGAGGTGCAGTCCCTCGCTGGGATGGGCTCCTCAAGCCCCAGGGAGCCACTCTGGGAGCAGGGAATGGGTCCAGACAAGAGCTTGAATGAGTACCCAAACCTTAACAGGAACAAGCCATAACACCCCAGGAACCAGAGAGGGCCAGGGAGACACTGGGAGACCTCGGCTTTTGACTCCAAAGGGAAATCAGAGGCAGAAAGGGGCATAATGTGATTTGTAAACCCATCAGTGAGGGAAAAGCCACCAGCCGGCCCCAAGCTCCCCCCTCCCCTGAAGCAGCCACCACATGAGCACCCACCTAAGAGCAGCCAGATGGCGAAGCGGAGCCACGTCATGTAGCTGAGCTTCAGCATCAGATAGATATTGAGGACGATGCTCAGCGCTGGGGAGAGGGGTACCAGGGGGATCTGCAGGAGAAATGGAGCCCATTCTTAAATCCACAGACACAAAACCCAACACTGCTAAATATAGGAGCAAAGTGACTTTCACTGTAGGCTTTTTGGAAATGACTTTTTTTTTTTCGTCCAGAAAAAGCTCAGCTGAAATGAACAACTGCCAGTTTGGGAGGCAGGAGCCAGCAGCCTGCAGGCTGGGCTGCCAGGGTGGACACTGGCTCTGGAAACAGCTCAGAGGCATTGTCACAGGGACCAAAGAAGCTCCCAACACAATCCTGACCCAACATGGTCCTTGCTGGCAAAGCTGGGAGGTGGTGTTACCACTGGTGTTACTGTCCACGCAGCAGCACTGCACTGGGGCCCTGATGGGCTGAGGAAGACAAGAGGCACAGAATTTATTTGAAGTCTGAAGAAAAGAAGAGTTGGGATGGGCATGAGGGGAGGGGGGCACTGTGGGGATGTGGAGAAGGGAGCCCAGGGCAGGCAGGAGTGATCCCACAGGATGGACATGGATCTGCAGAGGATGTGCCCTCCCAGGGATGGGTAACTGTGCAGAGTGACACCACAGGCACCATCACCTTCCCACATGCAGTGCCTGCTGACACCCTTGTCCTCCTCCTCCTTCAGCAGTTGTGGTGCTTTTACCAGACTAGAGCACCTCATGGGTCCATCAGAGCTGCTCCCACCCCTCCGACCCTGGCATAGGGACCCATGGACATACCTGGAAGGTCTGTGTGCTCCGCTGCTGCTCATGCGCCCAGATGAGGAGGAGGCTGAGCAGAAATACCAGGCTGAAGAGGACCAGCAGCAGGGAGTAGCTCCAGGTGGGCAGGTGAAGGTGTGTGTTGCCAAACACCAAGATGGAGCAGAGACAGATGGCAGACACCATCAGGGTCACCACAGCCACTGTGACCACCTCACCTGGGTAGAAGTCGCTGAGGAATTCCAGGTAGGGCTCAAAAGCTGCCTTCAACTGCCCTGGCTCCCGGTGCTCTTTGCTCTTGTCCCTGTCCACCAGCTGGAGCTTGTCAGAGAAGGACTCGTACTCCTTCAACTCACCAGCAGATGGACCCTCGCGGGCCTCGGGGCTCGGCCGGCCCCCTGCCGCTGGCTCACGGGGCTCCAGCTTCTGCTGCTGGAAGCGCAGGACGATGATGCTGGCGGCCACAAAGGTATAGGCCAGCAGCGTGCCGATGGACAGGAATTGCACCAGGGCCTCCAGATCGAAGACAAGGGCCAACAGGGCCATCAGCAGCCCAAAGACCACTATGCCGATGACAGGCACCTGCGTGCGGGGATGCACTCGGGAGAAGACCTGGAAGAAGAGCCCATCCTCAGCCATGGCGTAGACGATGCGCGGCAGGGAAAAGAGGTTGCTCAGCAGGACTGTGTTCATTGCTGAGGAATGGGCAGAAGAAGGAGGACCATGTCAGACCCAAACCGCCCCAGTTGCCAGCCCCTGTCACGAGCTGGGCGGCAGGTCCCACCACCGCTGCCTGTACTCACCGCAGATGGAGCCTGTAGCCACCAGGAACCCTGCCCAGGTGTAGCCTCTCCTGTAAAATGCATCTGCCAGGGCAGAGTCGGGATCCAGTGTGTGCCAGGGCACCATCAGTGTCAGCACCACTGACACCAGGATGTAAGCCCCAGTGGCCAGCCCCAAGGAGAAAGCGATGGCCCTGGGGACAGCTTGCTGTGGGTTCCTGGCCTCTTCACTAGAGGCTGCGATGACATCAAAGCCGACAAAGGCATAGAAACAGGTGGCTGTGCCCGCCACGATG